AAGTCTCGACAAATCAAATTGTGTATGGCTCTGCTTACCTTGAACAGAAAATGCTCATTATCGAACTTAATCAAGGTATTGATGTAATGAAACTCTACACCAAGTTTCATCACTCTCAGAACTTCTTTAAGTGGCATTTAGTAATTGAACAGTAACACACTAACACTATTTATGGAATAACAATCACTGGTTTATTAACATGCAACGTTTCGACGATGATACTCTCGTCTTTATCAAGCAAATGATAACATATATGTAAAACATCAAGTATTTATATACAGTATAACAAGAAGCCATAAATATAGATCTTATATATAACTAGCACTGATCAAAGCGATGATGATAAAGCCCTAAGTGGTTACAATGTACCGAAGCCATAATTAATTACATATCTATAAAGCAGGAGTAAGCCTAATTAGTGATCAGTGTTATTACAATGAATACAAATAGGTGTTAAGCATTCATTAGGTGTGCAATAACACACATTAACTATTATTTTAATAACATTAATGTTTAATTTTAATAATGGCGGATGTTAGATAGTATATGCAGTACTGGATCATATATATACTAAATATTAAAGTAATGATTAATATTAAGGGCTAATCAATAAGCATGATTCTGAATGTTATGAATAATAATAATAATAATAATAATAATGAAAAAGTAATCAGTACCTAATCTGATATATGATAATTATATTGAATACAATAAGTGAGAATGTAACAACAATCCTGATAACAAAATGAACTACTGGAAAATTATTGTATCGTATGCGTGTAGTGGGGAAGATAGACTCCTACATCTCTGCCCACCCACACAGACCAGTACATAAACCATTCATCAAACCACCCCAGTCAAGTCAAGAAAGGCATCATTACAACCCTGACACGTCGCGCCCTTAAAATATGTGATCCCCCGCAAATAAAAGCAGAATTACAGCACTTGAAAGATGTTTTCATCCATTTCAACCAATATCCACCTCAAGTGGTAGAAAAGACTATCTCCGCTACCATCACTAAACATCAGAAGGCAGTGAAACCCCCACCCAAACCCGAGACAGCAGTGAGAATATCCATTCCGTTCATAGGCAAGACATCATATGAAATAAGAAGATTACTAAGCAGAGCAGGGATTGGCGCTAGTTTTACCACGGGACCCACAATTAAACAACTGCTAAAGGCTAACGGGAAGAACCCCCCATCTAACCCTCCACTACCAACAGGATGCGTATACAAACTGACCTGCTCGTGTGAAAACCAGTACATAGGAGAAACTAAAAGACCGTTAAGCATCAGAATTAAGGAACACCAATCGCTATCCAAAGTTAACCAATCCGCAGTCGCTGAACACTTGAGAAACAATAAGAAACACAGAATTCAATGGTCTAAAGTAGAAGTGATGAACGCGAACCAACATGTTAAGAAGACAAGGAAAATCATGGAAAGTATTCAGATCCGACGACACAAGCCGGCAATTAATACAATAATTACGATACAATAATTTTCCAGTAATTCATTTTGTTATCAGGATTGTTGTTACATTCTCACTTATTGTATTCAATATAATTATCATACATCGGATTAGCTACTGATTACTTTTTCATTATTATTATTAATATTATTATTATTCATAACATTCAGAATCATGCTTATTGATTAGCCCTTAATATTAATCATTACTTTAATATTTAGTATATATGATCCAGTACTGCATATACTATCTAACATCCGCCATTATTAAAATTAAACATCAATGTTATTAAAATAATAGTTAATGTGTGTTATTGCACACCTAATGAATGCTTAACACCTATTTGTATTCATTGTAATAACACTGATCACTAATTAGGCTTACTCCTGCTTTATAGATATGTAATTAATTATGGCTTCGGTACATTGTAACCACTTAGGGCTTTATCATCATCGCTTTGATCAGTGCTAGTTATATATAAGATCTATATTTATGGCTTCTTGTTATACTGTATATAAATACTTGATGTTTTACATATATGTTATCATTTGCTTGATAAAGAGAAGAGTATCATCGTCGAAACGTTGCATGTTAATAAACCAGTGATTGTTATTCCATAAATAGTGTTAGTGTGTTCATCACTCTCACTTAATTAGAACTAAAGTTATTGTGTCCCAAAGCAAGGTCTACGGCAATGGATGTTCTCTCTGGTGAGACGTCGGCGCACTTTATCGGTACTGATAGGTCTTCCGTGTGTTCCCACGGTCTGACGTGCTTTCTCGGATGCCTGTGTGAAGGGATTCTGCAGATGCTATCGCACAACATGGCGGGTTTTTCGCCTTGTGGTAACCCTTGGTCTACCAGTTCGGGGGCGAACATCCGTGGTGTTGGTGGCCTGAAAGCGTTGCTGAAGCCTGTAGATGGTCCAAACATTGACCTGGAAGTGATTGGCAACGGCTTGGGCAATGTGGCCAGCGTCGAGTCTTACAAGCGCCTGCTTCCTCTGAACTGTCGTGAGTCGTGGCATGCTGCTGACGTTGTAGTGAGAATGATCCAACCAGGTATGGCAGTGGTTCTCAACTTTTTTTTGCCAACGGCACACCTTGGAACACATGAAAAAATAGCGGCACACCTGGCTAAATATATATGAAAAATATTTGAAATTTTTGCTAAATAAAAACATGTTAAGTCAGACAGAATACATCTGAAGACAGAGACTAGTCATAGGCTCAAACTAAAAAAAGAAAACACAGTAATGAACTATCTGTGGACACCAGTAAATACTCAATTGGGATCACGTGGTTTTTCACATTTTCTTAGTGTGCCGTTCAGAATTTCGCGACACACTTAAGAAGATCTCGCGGCACACCTGTGTTCCGCGGTACACTGGTTGAGAATCACTGAGGTATGGGGTGCATTTTATAGGTCTGGTCCCGGTGAACAGCACGTGCAGCATGAGTTACATGAAAATAATGGAGAACACATAACCATCCCTGGGTTCAATTCTGTGTTTGGGAAGGAGCCTTATTGCTCAGGTAAAGTTGGAGATGTGATCAGAAATATACAATAGAAATATTTGGCAAGTTTTATGCAATGCGTCTATTCAGATACCAACCTGACGTTTCTTTTGCTGCTTAGTATATTAACGTTCATAGCGTGATAGTGGTTGAAAAGGTAACTTTATATGATAGAAGTTGCTTCAAGCCATGTTGCTGGGATAATGAGTTCAGGGGCCTATGTGAAGGATGATCTAAAACCACGGGTATGCAGGCTCCAAAAATGGTTGAGACTCCAAATGTTGTCGACATACCAAAGGTTGTTGAGGATCCAAAAGCTGACGGTAAAACAAATAAAACTGTGGAAAATCAGGTCTTGCTAGACCACAAACCAATTACGTATGTTACTGATCAGTTGCTGCAAAATATGGTCGTAGAAATCACCTTGGTAAAATATAGATTATGATGCGAAGGAAAGGGGTACATAATCAAGTTCATGAAGGGGTACATAATCAAGCCATGTTGCTGGGACAATGGATTATGACCCTTGATTGTACGAAATATCACGTTTTAGCCTGTTGACCCTCTAGAGTTCACATATCTTTATCGTTTTTTTTCAAAACCGTTCAAATATAGGCCTATCACAGTTGCATAATATTTATGGTTGAGACCGAATTTCGTGAAAATCCTACCGAAACTCTCAGTCAAATGGCCGTCCTCCTTTACGCAAATAGTATAAAAGCATGTAATGCCCAGGTTGTGGACCATAGAGGTCACAATTTTTATCTGATTTAGATGGAACTTAAAACGAGTATCACTAGTTCTTTGATGAATTCAATTTTCGTGCGCATTGGCCTCCTGCCTTGAATGAAGTTTGTGGATTTTCCAGGGGTAACGATTTTTGTCCGATTCATGAGATTAAACTTATATGTGTTAAGGATTAAACGTTCTTGGATGAGTTCGACTTTGGTACGCATCAGACCTTACATTCTAGAGCTATAGCCCCTGCTTTTTACGCAAAATCCTCCAAGGGCCTACAATTGTTGTCCCATTATGAGAAAACAAATATATTAAGGGTGTATCTTGCATGGCAACCGCTTGTTTTAACTGGTCATAACTGATAGGATTGAATTATTTGATGGATAAGGGACACAAGGAAAGGGTTGAGAAAATGTATACCCGTCGTTTTTTTTATATTTTTTAATTACCTAATCTGTCATAGATACAATGGAAGTGAGATGGGGTTGAAATAAAGTTCGAATGTTCAGTTAACTAATAGTGACCGTCGCAACTGGGGGTCTCTCAACCCAGGGGTCAGTATAGAGCATAGCAGGGTTTTCTTCTGAAAGTCTAATTTCTAGAAGTTAAAATCATGCGTGGTTTTATCTAACCGGGTGCAATAACCTGGAAAAGGGAGTACTTGCGGCCAAAGCCCCCCACCCCACCCCACCCCCACACACGTACACACTCCGACGGGCCTGCCATTCGCTACTTTATAACAGGTACAAAAGGTACACAAATGCGCTGCATCTCTTGCTTCTACCTCCCGCAGAAGAGTTTCGAGCTGATACATTGTATATAATTATGTGCTTTTAGAACCATTTTTGTCTATTTCAAGGTTTCAAAAACTAGAGCAATATACGCCCTTTAAGTTAATTGAGATGGTTGATATACTGAATGTTGTACTAACCAGCAAAGTGTTTAGAATAGAATAGAATTGTATTACACCGAAACGCCGTTTCAGGACAGCATATATAGCGCATACAATATACAAAGATGAAATGTAAATGTACAAAAATTCACGTACGGGTGGTCGGGCAAAAGAAGGATTGGTCTCACTTTATTTTACATCAACGCTAGATGATGTAAAACGCGCGGTCGTTGATTTAGGAACATAACTTGACAAAGCTAATATAATACCACTTTTATTCCGATTTGTCTAATGTCTATTAGACCGATGTGTCTTCTTGGCATTTGGCTTTTATTGACACGCTCATTCGATTATCCAGCCCATTTACGATGCAGATAGACTACTGGAAGAGCGAGTCGAATGTATTTCCACGCGTCATGACCGCTATGTCAATACAATAACAATTCTCTGAAAGTGAAAAAGTCAGCCGATAGTTCCGAACGTGTCATTTAGGAAGGTAAAATATTATTATGATGAATCAAAAACAACAAAAAATGTCTAATTCTTTTATCTGTGACCATATAGATATCTTTCATTTTCTGTTTGACTTTTTATACTTATCTTGCCTGGTTGGTGCAATAATTGCTATAACTATAATAATATATAAAATTGGCTGAAAGTGAAACGGGGCGCTATTGCACTTTCGTACCTCTACCAGTTCCTGTGGTCGTAGGAACTTGAAATTATTAGAGGATGTTACGGGGGACTAGCAATGACCACACACCAAATTTCAGCCGAATCGATCAATAACTTTTTATTTTACCGACCTTTTAATTTCTAACGAGAGAGAACTTTATCTGTTTGACGCCATTTGCTTTGTTTACTATTTAGACTCGAATAACAAGACACTAAGACGGAAACCGACACACTGCACTAGCTGCCTATCTCTGCAGTTCATAAAAATTAATATAATTTTCGTATACTTTAATTTTTGCGCGAAGCCACCATGTTCTATAAAATACTATTTGGTGTTGATCAGTGGATTGGCCTTTAGGTGTGAATATTGCCGTGACCTTGATTTTGACCTTGAGTCTTAACTTCCCATCCATATCAGGGCCTTTGCGTTTATGATTGCCGTGGCCTTATTTCTTACTGTATTTTCAAAGTTAATGTTCGAGGTGAAAGCAGAGACGACGTCCTTCGGAAAAGATGATTGGGTCAAAGTCGTAGGTCAAGGTCATGTTACAGAAAACTAAACTCAAACTTTTCAAAGTCATTTTTTGGACATTTGACCTTGACTTTCGACCTTGACCCCGTAACCATTTTCGAAGGCTATCACCATGGCTTGAATCATGGACGTTTACCTTGGTTCTGTAACACACTGCTCGGTCAGAAAAGGGTCAAACGGAGAGGGGCCCGTGTCCGAAAGGAAGTCAATGGGCGTGGTCAATGTGAAAGGTCGTAGTGACCTCCACTAGTCACCGTTAACCATCCATGACCTTGACCCTGACCTAAGAGTCCGAACTTCCCATCCATCTCGGACCCTTTGCGTTTATGCGTGCCGTGACCTTATTTCATTTTTGGGACAGGGCCAGGGTAAACGTCGATGGTTCAAGCCAAGATGATGGGCTTTGAAAATGGTTACGGGTCAAGCTCGTAAGTCAAGGTCAAATGTCCCAAAACTGACCTTGAAAAGTTTGAGTTCAGTTTTCTATAACATGACCTTGACCTACGAATTTGACCCAATTATCTTTTCTGAGGGACGTTGTCTTTGATTTCACCTCAAGCATTAACTTTGATAATACAGTAAGAAATAGGGTCACGGCAAGCATAAACGAAAAGGGCCCGAGATTGATGGGAAGTTTGGACTCAAGGTCGAAGTCAAGGTCACGAATGGTTAAAGGTGACTAGTGGAGGTCACCACGAACTTTCACATTGACCACGCCCTTTGACGTTCTTTCGGACACGGGCCCCTCTGCGTTTGACCGTTTTCTGACCGAGCAGTGTGCGACAGGGCCAGGGTAAACGTCGATGGTTCAAGCCAAGATTATGGGCTTTGAAAATGGTTATGGGATCAAGGTCGTAAGTCAAGGTCAAATGTCCCAAAACTGACTTTGAAAAGTTTGAGTTCAGTTTTCTGTAACATGACCTTGACCTACGACTTTGACCTATTTATCTTTTCTGAAGGACGTTGTCTCTGCTTCCACCTCAAGCATTAACTTTGATAATACAGTAAGAAATAGGGTCACGGCAAGCATAAACGAAAAGGGCCCGAGATGGATGGGAAGTTTGGACTCAAGGTCGAAGTCGAGGTCACGGATGGTTAAAGGTGACTAGTGGAGGTCACCACGAACTTTCACATTGACCACGCCCTTGACTTCCTTTCGGGCACGGGCCCCTCTGCGTTTGACCGTTTTCTGATCGAGCAGTGTGCGACAGGACCAAGGTAAACGCCCATGATTCAAGCCAAGTTGATAGCCTTCGAAAATGGTTACGGGGTCAAGGTCGTAAGTCAAGGTCAAATGTCCCAAAACTGACTTTGAAAGTTTGAGTTTAGTTTTCTGTAACATGAACTTGACCTACGACTTTGAACTTTTAACTTTTCTGAAGGACGTTGTCTCTGCTTTCACCTCAAGCATTAACTTTGATAATACAATAAGAAATAGGGTCACGGCAAGCATAAACGAAAAGGGCCCGAGATGGATAGGAAGTTTGGACTCAAGGTCAAAGTCAAGGTCACAGATGGTTAAAGGTGACTAGTGGAGGTCACCACGACCTTTCACATTGACCACGCCCATTGACTTCCTTTCGGACACGGGCCCTTTGCGTTTGACCCTTTTCTGACCGAACAGTGTGCGACAGGACCAAAGTAAACGTCGATGGTTCAAGTCAAGGTGATAGCCTTCGAAAATGGTTACGAGGTCAAGGTCGTAAGTCAATGTCAAATGTCCCAAAACTGACTTTGAAAAGTCCGAGTTTAGTTTTTTGTAAGATGACCTTGACCTACGACTTTCACCCAATTATCTTTTCTGGAGGACGTCGTCTCTGCTTTCACCTCGAACATTAACTTTGATAATACAGTTAGTAATAAGGCCACGGCAAGCATAAACGCAAAGGGCCCGAGATGGATGGGACGTTTGGACTCAAGGTCAGAGTCAAGGTTACGGATGGTTAACGGTGACTAGTGGAGGTCACCACGACCTTTCACATTGACCACGCCCATTGACTTCCTTTCGGACACGGACCCTCTGCGTTTGACCGTTTTCTGACCGAGCAGTGTGCGATAGGACCAAGGTAAACGTTCATGATTCAAGCCAATGTGATAGCCTTCGAAAATGGTTACGGGGTCAAGGTCGTAAGTCAAGGTCAAATGTCCCAAAAATTGCTTTGAAAAGTTTGAGTTTAGTTTTCTGTAACATGACCTTGACCTACGACTTTAACCCAATTATCTTTTCTGAAGGACGTCATCTCTGCTTTCACCTCGAACATTAACTTTGATAATACAGTAGGAAATAAGGCCACGGCAAGCATAAACGCAAAGGCCCCGATATGGATGGGAAGTTTGGCCTCAAGGTCAAAATCAAGGTCACGGCAATATTCACACCTAAAGGCCAATCCACTGATCAACACCAAATAGTATTTTATAGAAAATGGTGGCTTCGCGCAAAAATTAAAGTATACGAAAATTATATTAATTTTTATGAACTGCAGTGTTAGGCAGCTAGTGCAGTGTGTCGGTTTCCGTCTAAGTGTCTTGTTATTCGAGTCGGTTTCCGTCTTAGTGTCTTGTTATTCAAGTCTAATTAGTAAACAAAGCAAATGGCGTCAAACGGATGAAGTTCTCTCTCGTTAGAAATTAAAAGGTCGGTAAAATAAAAAGTTATTTATCGATTCGGCTGAAATTTGGTGTGTGGTCATTGCTAGCCCCCCTTAACATCCTCTGAAAATTTCAAGTGCCTACGACCACGGGAACTGGTAGAGGTACGAAAGTGCAATAGCGCCGTGAAACGGTGTGGTATACCGGCACAGGTTGTATTTCAGATATCGTCGAAATTCACATTGTCATATATTGGTGCTTAGTTTATGATGTGTTTGTTTATTGGAAACTGTTACACCTGCAGGTGACAGTTTTTACAATGAAATGAAAGGTGGTTCGAACTACTTTTCTGCTCCTAGTCCTAGTACTGTGGCCTTCATGACAGATCTACGAGTGCTGTGAGGAAAATTTGCCCGGGCTATGGTCTATACTGTTATTTCAAATTCCAATTGTCAAGATCGATTGTTTTTACCAGCCTTCCTTAGTGCCTATCCGTACGTACATTATATAGGCCATATAGGCATATGAGCCAGGGGGGCAGCTCCCTCCTTAAAGACCACGTAAGATCAAAAATCTAAATTTCATGTACGTATAGCCCATGGTTACTATATCAACTTTACGGCAAGTTCACACCAATATGATTAAAATTAAGTCGGCTGTTAACGTTTAAATGTCCGACACGCCAAAATGCTTTTCAATTTTTCAATTACGACCTTAATCCGGTTGATTGGCTGGTGACGTCACAGGCACTACACATAGGATATACATTATCTATAGCCTACAATATCTCACTGTCTGTACAATATAGCACTATCAATACACACGGCAAGTTGACAAGCGTCTGTTGACGGTCCAATTGCCACGTGACTGGCATAATCATAATCACAGAATTATCGTCTTTCATTGGTATAGCTTAAACATTTGTGATTGGGAAATTTTAGAGTGAATTTCAAATGCCGTATCATGCTGTAGATCCATTTAAGCTGCCTTTGTTTAAATAGGCCACGTGTCAAATGAAGACGACTCAAGAAATTAGCGCATTTACCGGTAATTTGGATAACCCCGTAATACTTGATATCCCAAACTTAAGTACAGAAATACAAATGGGGTCAGTCATTTGTCGATATATTCATCATTAGCTATATATAATAATAATAACCATTTCTATACATAAAGAACAACTTTTATCGTAACTCCATTTGAAATTTACAGTGAATATGGAATTTTCTGATGACTATGCATAAGATGTACAATAGATCGCCCTCATTTCTCAGCCAATCAACGCTGGGAATCTTATTACCTATAGGCTATACGGTTCCATGTACTAGGGGTGTAGTAAATGAGGTTAAACTTCGGCGCGAAAATTGCACGGGATCATACGTGGAGTTCCTGGTGCCGTTTGGTGAGTGATTAAACTGTCAATGCAATTGTAAAATACTTTTATTAAAAAGAAGATAAACGATTGTTGTTTAAACGCCAATAAACAAATAATACGAGGCTACTTGATTACAAAAGCACCGGTGAGCAATAATTATTGGGTAAATAGTATAATTATGAACAACTGGTGAGTAAAACTTAATTATTTTATACAATTAATGTGTGGGTGTACGATTCTACCATTAGTTCGTTCATGAGGTATTATGCACACGTTCCACTTAGAGTGATGTCTTTGATCTGGCCGGCATAAAAAAAAAAGATAATTACCTAATCAACATTCTTAATCCCACTAACACTCACTGCTAACACCGACATGTAAATTAATTTATGACCCATGCCTGTATAACTTTTATAGGCGGATTGATTAATTAATGACAGATATTAACGACACTACACTTTATGTGGAAAAGTGACGTGCTCGAGTAAAAACCACATAGCTGGACCCGTATATTATTTACATATTAAAAGTGTTCGTCCAATAAGTTCCATATTGTAAAAATTAATTAAGAGTTCAAGACTTCAAAGTTTAAAAGTTGTAGGCAATCTAAATTGGATCTTAAATTAAAATGAATTACAAAATAAATTATTCTGTAGTCAATTGTTTTATTCAATTTGGGGGATTAAGGAATCAGTCAGGCGTTAATGAATACACACGCCGGCTGTATATAGGTAATTGAGGAATAAACATTCTGAATATGCATTTGGTCACTGGCGTCTGAGGGGATTAAGAGTGTTTTCGATAATTGGCAAAATCGTTTTTACGGGAGGTCTATTTTTACGACTTTCAGTGAAGAAAGCTGAATTAATTTAAACCAGATTGGCGTGAACTTGCCGTAAAGTGGATATACCAACCACTGGCTACACGGATTAAAAAGATTTTTCGGCCATCTTATGTGCACTTTAACTTTCGGGCAATCTGACTTTTCAAGCAGGTCGGTAAAGTGAAAACAAAAATTATCATTTCATCTAGTTTGCATAATTATTAAGTGTGAAATCGAATAAAACACTGATTTTACTTTTCTTTCAATTGAATGCGTCAAATTTGTACTGAATTTACTATGGATTAAAACATTTTGTCTGGAACCACTCTACTTTGTAACATTTTCAGGGCCTCGAATATTATTCGTCAATGCAGCTGCAACAGTCTGATTGGATGGTTGTAATTGAATTCGGCATACAGTGGGTTTTCGACTGCAAAACAATTGGAAACTTTGAAGTGCTTAACTCACGGGCTAGAATAGCAGAAAAACGCATTTGCGGTGGTTAAATTTTTAACATTTTCCTGGGGAGCGTGAGGTCCCACTGATTGCTTGTTTGGGATTTAGGTTAAGTCACCTAAGGTAGGCTATATTGAACCACATATAAGTTGCTGTATTCACAGGCTGGAATAGCATAAAAACATGTTTGTGGCAGTTCAATTTTTTAAAAATTTCTTCCAACGGTCCCATCTCTGTGGACAGTAAATGATTGATTGGTTGATTGCAATTTGAGTCAGTCACCTAAATTAGGCTATATTAGACTACTTTGAAGTTGCTGCAGTATTCACTGGCTGGAATAGCCTAGAAAATGTATTTACGGTCTTCCAATTTTCCAAATTTTCTTCGGGGGGTGTCCATCTGTATCCCGAAATTTCTTCGGGCATTTCAATTTCCGCGCCCCCCCCCCAACATTCATCGAGCGCATACGCATATGCGTCACAGGATCGTTTTATGTATAAATTTAGCAGATATTCCTAGATTTATCTTGGTAAGAGGACACCAGTGAAACACCCTTCATGGAAGGCTTCTGGTTATTAAAAAATTTAAAAGTGGTCATCATCCAAATGTATAAATAATGAATAACACCAACCATATTTATCATTGTTGTTATTCTTATACATAATATGTATACAATTTTACAAACTGTCTTCTTTGTATTATAGAATTAATATTATTGGCATACTTATTCACCAAGGAAGTTACTCAAATATTTATTTTAAGAGCATAAAAGGGCTGACTATTCATTTTATCCATGCAAACCAGTGAGATGTTACGATAAAATACAACCGTCTTAATACTAGGTTCCCACTATCGCGATTCACGCCAGGAAAAACGTATCTGCGGCCGTCCAATTTTCCAAATTGTCTTTGAGGGGAGGTGGGCATACACGGTAAGCTCCGCTCATTCGCCTCTCGCAGACGACCAGCATTGCCATCTGTAACCCGAAATTTTTTCAGACATTTCAGGTTCTGCCACCTTAACATTCATTGAGACTGTACGCCTATGTCCGTACGACTATACGTTGTCCCTTGCTATCCCCTGACAGGGCACATTTACATAGAATTAATAGAAAGAGTTGCTTTCGTTCACTTTACGCATAATTATGTCTTTAAAAACAGTATTTTTTATGTTGATATTCTACTGGAAATAAAATATATTGTTATAAATGCCTACATGGAAATATGGTTGTATATTGTGGTTGCATCCGTCTTTTTAAAAAATAGAAAAGTGTTGCACACTAGGTGCGTTACCAAAAGTCTTCAAATAATGTAAATTAAATTTTAAGAAGGAAGGGTTAGAGCTGGCAGATGGTATCTCCTGTAGGCCTACTTCAACCGAGGGTCAATCAGAAAACACAGATCCTATTTCGTTTCGTTTTTTATAGTTCAAAATTTTGTTTTACTTGTCTTTACTACACTAGGATCTGGAAGAGTTGTTATCATTGATGTGTTCTGGATGATGTGAGGGATCAGCCAATGAAACGGTCTGTTACGACGAGCTTTTGGTGTGAGCTGCACGGAACTGTGGGTAATCCACTAGAAACATCAGTGTTGATTGGTTATATCTGACGTCATAGCATAGGGTCAAAAGCTGCTTGTATGACCTCTGACGCGACCCCTCAAAACCACTGGTCAGATCTTTGTAGTGTAGGCCATCGAAAGTATAAAAAACGAAACAAAATATATATCTGTATTTTAATCAGATTGACCGAGGGTGATATCGCAGATAGCTTGTCCTATTTTCAATTTTAATACGCCCACATTATGATCTGGTCGTATATTGCTGCCGCCCCTGTCCGTAGGTTGGTCAATTGTGGACGCTCTAGAGGCTACAGTTAATTTCCAATCAACTTTAAATTCATACTAAGAGTTTATGGTCATGAGATGAAGAAGCCTATTGAGATAAACAATCAAGAAAAATTTCTGATAATTACTTAACAGGTTGTTAATCAGATTTTAGTGTGTTGTGAATGTTTCCATTGCTCACTTTAAGAAAAATATGTGACAACACTTGTTGACTGCCCAGAAGACTAAGCTGCTCTGGGCGTATGTTTCTTTGTCTAGCAACCTATCTTTTGACGTGTCAACATTTTACATTTCTTGCATTACATTTTACATTTGTGATCTGCCACATCTCATTTGTCCTTCACACTTTGTACATTGCATCTTACGCACAGCACTATCTTTGATATTATGCAAATGTAGGATTTCACATGACTTATTAACATAAATGGAAACGACGCCGAGATCAACCTGGCACACTATAAGCCGGCACACTATAAGAGGAAATCAAGCTGGCACAATATAAGAAATCTGCTGGACGACCATGACTGCAACGAAATCTGTGATTGTTATGGCCAATCTGAGCCTTCGACTTTCGACAAATAAGATAAATTGAAAGTATAGTCTATTTTTAGCAATTAGGTCACTGTTTGACAGCAACACATTTTTTCAACAAAACAAGAATATTTCTTTCTCTTCTAAAGTACGTAATCATGAATGTGCTAGGAAATAACTGATAGATTCAAAGAAGCGTATTTACCAGTGATGTATTACACGATAACTGGAATTTCGTATCAAGACCCGTATTTTGACATTTTAAACACTTGCCACCATATATACAAAAAGAAGTGACTTAACCCATAAGTGCATAACCATTTTTTGTTCCCAAACCCCTTTCGTGCATAAGCCTAATTCCTAGCATTGCGACGGAAATTGGTGCAAAATACAAAAATGTGGAAAAAAGTATTTTCTGACAATGACAAACCCTACAAAGTATATATATTTAGAAAGGGTATAAAAAGGGCTTTCTGAATCTGTAAAAAATATTTATTGATGCAGAATGTTAGAAATGAAGTATGCTGCTTTCAGAGGCATCTCTTTGGTACACAATACAGAATTATTTTTTTTTAAAATATCCAATAACTTTACAACAGCAGTGGTAGGAAACCGGAAAAACCGAAGAAAACCCACAAGGTTAGACAGGCAACATCATCATCCGAGTCACTACTACATTTTGTACACTCATCAAACCATACATTATGATCAAACACACTGAACTGCATCACAAATATCTACGATTTCTACGTGAAGCAAAAAACTGGACAAAAAAATGCTATTTTGCTTTAAAAAAAACACATTCTGTAGCGTAATCCAACTCACACAGTATTCCTTGGCAACTATGAATGGGATCCTGTACAAATCATGTCTTAAATCTGCGAAAATTTGCGAAAAGTTACAGAAATTTTACTCAAAACATTGACAGGACGGCTGGATTTAGACAATGGCTTCAAAAGGGGATTTCCCGTGGAACCGCCTTTAGCGCGGTAAATGCAAACTGTTAAAAACGATACGGGAAATTCCGTAGCCATGCAATTTCAGCTTTTGTTTACTCTTTGGCGTAGGCCGTAGCCATGCACTTATGGGTTATGTCAATTTCTTATAGTGTGCTGGCTTATAGTGTACCAGGAGGTCGGGTGTTCGATCCCTGCATTGGCTGAGAAAGTCCATCCAGATTTTCCGGCGTGGTTCCCCCTTGTCAGTGATGCAAGATGGAGGGCCTGACAAGGACAGCTGTCTAGTCATTTGGATGAGATGAAAACCTGAGGTCCCATGTACACATTGGCGTGCACGTTAAAGATCCCTTGACAGTTGGAATTCGATATAAGAGTAGGCCGTAGTGCCGCTGTTCGGGCAAAATTTCACTCATAGCACACTGTATGGCTTATGCCGGACTTCATTAGCCCAGCATAGGAGCAGAACATTAGGACGTTAAACCCCATTTCATTTCATTTATTGACTTCCGGTTGGAAATATCAATTTCCGGTGTCAAACTCGGATCGATTTCAGTTTAGAGAAATCTATCACGCAGTACCACTTTTTATGGCTTCTGAAGCATGGTAAATGTTTCATGCAGTCACTTTTGGGTTATTGGAATGTTCTGTCAATAGTCATGAGATTCAAGACAAATCTGACATTTGTGACAAGTAAACAAGTTTGATATCAAAAACAAAAAGAACCCATAACGAGTCAGAAGTCTCCAAAAATGAAAACAACGAAATTCCTATCTTGGAAATAAAGACGCAGTCCACTATATCAGCGATGCATTATCCTCGTCCCCTTGCACACCCTTGGTAATATTGGTACGCTCCCTATTAAAACCCTTTTACAGTTAAAGCATATATGCCTTTGTGCAACTGCCAGCCACTTTGTTTAATAGCGGGAAGGTTCAGGGATCTGGTCACGTACGACTTGTCGCGCACGGCCGTGTAATTCACCAATTCAGTAATTATCACGCCTTCGAAAAGTTCTTAGAACAGTTGATTACAGGGTCGTCCCGATTAAGCTTAAGGTATGCACAAACCCATATTTTTTTTTGTGGTGCCCACAAACTTATCTCACTAGTCAGCACCGGGTGGTTGTGAAATCTATCAGCCCTTGACACTAGTGACTTCCAATGACACGTAGTCGTTTGATCATATGTATCTCTCTGTATTTTACGGCCACCGCAGTTAAAACCTTGAGATGACCCCGAGATACAAGGTCCAGGAGAATTGTGAGGAAATCACTATAAGCTACAGATGCAAGGACTTGGTGAGGTATGAGTGTGTCATCCTATTCATGTGTGATCAAATACTATGTGTCCTCAAGGCCAAGGGTATTCAACCAGCATGGAGTCGATTTGCTTGGTGAATGCCTCTTGTAGGCCAGGGAGTTTCTGCATGTTTGATGTTTTCTTCATACTCTGATGTACAGCCATAGCATAAATGATGAGAACTTTGGGTGGTGTAGCCTGTGCTGTATCAACCAGGCTAGCATATGACACTAGTTGATCCTTTGCTCCTTCAACAGCATAGCCTAGCCTGTTTGATACAGCAAAAGCTACACCACACAGGGTTCTCATCATGGAGAAACTCTTAGATCTTGCATCTGTAGCTAAGAGTTACTGGCGGGAAGCTCGTGTTTGGTCACGTGATGCCGATGCCCTCACAATTCTCATGGACCTTGTCTCCTGGGGTCGTCTCGGTATTCGCAGTCATCTCAGGTTTGTAATTGAGAAGGTCGCAAAACACAGAGATCTAT